CAAGTGAAATAATGTATGCTGATTACGTGGACAACGTACGCAGCGTGCGAAATATGTCGCGCGACTGCTTTGATTTTCAGCTTTCCCACTTTTATACTTCAAGAACCATCAAGGGGTCCAAATAACGTTAAAGACATTTTTGTAGCTAATTTTATTCTCTTCAAAGAAATAGTAGTGTTTTATATTTTTCTTAGATTAGCCATAATAAGCAGAAACATCATTTCATTACACGACAAATCTTTTTAAAAGCCAAGTGATGAAATTAATTGCCCACAGTATTGTTTTCTGTCACAATTGCGGAAAATTATTTGGGCCTATCATAACTAGAACCAATTTCAACTTATCATTAGGAGGCAATAATCCTACGATAACACCAAAATCTTATTTCTTGGTCTATCAAGGAACCTCCGCTGTGCTGTTGTCTCGAACAATAACTTTGAAAATCCAGTCAAATTTTTACACTCTAAAATTTTAAAAATAAATTTCAGTAAAACACTTAATAGGCCTAAAACAACTCCAAATTTCGTTAAATATAAAAAATAATAATGATACAAAGACTTTCATAAAATATTTAGGGATAATGGTTGATGACTAAATGGCATGCTCAGGTTGAGTATCTTACAAATAATTTAAGATCGATAATACCAAGACTGAAGTTCTTGAGACTTTTCATCTACAAATGAATTGATTTCAATATCCAATCACAATCACTGTTATTTTACGGCATTGTTGGATGGGGGGAGTACTGCCGACGGCATTGAAAAAACTTGAATTTGTGCAAAAACGGACTTCAAAAATTATGTTAGGTATCAACATTCTTTACCCAACCGAAAAACTGTATCAAGATTCTTGTGTTTTTAGAATCGTACAATTATAGTGTATGAACCTGCTGTTATTTATTTATAAGTATAAACATAATCTGCTGAGGCCAGAATGAAACAAGGTGTAAAACACTATCAGTGCAGACCCGAAGGATGAATAAGCAAATAGGACAAAGGTCATTTGAATATACAGGGTGTAGACGTTATGGTAGTCATTATTGAAATGGGTAATAGGTAGGGACAAAACAAGTCAAAGAATTCATATGACCCATGGTCCAAAAGTCAATAGATTTTTGTCTAAATGGCTTTATAGTTTACAACTTTGAGTGCTTTATATCGACCACAATCTTACTAATTTTTATAATCTAATCTAAAACGTTTTTAAATTGAGTAATTAACTAATAAATGGCATTAAGTTTTTCTAAGTTCAGCCAAAATTTGTAGTCAGTAAGTAAGTAAGGTTCATTAAATTGGATATTTAAAACACGTATCACAACAGCGCGTCGGTCATCTTCACTCTTATCGAACCGGCAATCGATCGCAAACGGTAACAGTGGTTAATGTGTTGTTTTGTTTTTGTTCGCGTACGTCGTCGTGTTGATTGATTTACAATGTTCTCTAATCAAGAGTTCGAAGACATGTTGCTAGTTTACGGTGAAGCTCGTCAGAATTCAAATCTTTCATCTTAAATTTATCGCGACAGATTTCGCCAACGGGTACACCCAGACAGAAGGACATTTGTGCAAGTGTACCAAAGACTTCTAGATACACGAAGTGTTCAGCCCACTAATATTCGCACTCGTGAAAGACAGGTTACTGTAGAGCAGGAGGAACAAATTTTAAATATCGTGGAAATCAATGCAGATATCAACACTCTATAATTAGGCCGCCAGGGAGGACTATCGCATACCATAGTCCATAGAATCCTACGGGAAATTTTGCTTTATCCCTACCATGTACAACGAGTGCAGGCCTTGTTACCAGAAGATTATCCTCGCAGACTAACATTCTTTAAAGTCGCTTTTCTCTAAAAAATGCCGTTTTGACCCCCATGTTTTATGAAATTTTTGTTTCTTTTAACGCCCTCTATCACCCGTTTAAATAATGACTACCATAACGTTTACACACTGTATAGGGTCACGCGCCTATAATCTTCTGCCTGATGAATGTAAACAGAACACCAGTTACTATACATACGCAAAACGTATAAAACTGTGGATACAAGAACAATCCTATATAGGTACTAATGAAATAACAAATTAATGTATATTCAGATTTTCCCGACAACAACTTAACACCTACTTCTAGAACTGTAGAAGTTTAGGTTACTTCAGTTTACTTAAACATTGTATATAGGTATCTAATATGATAAATTTGTGTAATTGTGTGATATATTCTTAATTATTATTGAATATATGATTATATCAAAATATATCAAATATACCATTTACAGGAGAAATTTACATGGATATATCCGCATGACAATGACAATGTTTCGTATGGGTAAATACCCGCACACAGGCAGGTGCCTTCTGTGGGTTCTCTATGTTAATTGCTTTTCTTCCAGACTAATTGTATTTTACAAATAAACATTATTATTATAGGTTTCAGTATTGCTCATTTCTTTGTTCAACCTTACGCAATGACAGCTGAGGGATCACTGACGCCCCATGAAACGTTATAGACTCTTCTAAGATTTTCTAGAAAATAAAAACTGAAGCACTTATTACAAATTAGCTATATTAACCTGCGGCGAAGATTAATCGGTCTCATATTCCAAATAAATAAGTATACATTGGCCATGGGAATAAATTTCATTAAATACCTGTTTTATTCCATTCCATTTTATTTAACACCTACCAGATTCTACAAGATTAGTAAGATGAAGTATTTCCGGTCACCATAACGAAGTCAAAACATCAATGATATTGTTATAGCATTTGAGCAAAATAACAGCGTTAGAACTAGACATTTTCGCGAATAACCAGCAACGTTATCAAGTAACGATACCAATGGCGTTCAATTTATCCTTGTTTGCACATAAAGCTGGGAGGAGGAAACAGTTAAATTCCAGCAATTTCCCAAGAAATGCAAAGTTAGTGCTGTTGATGGGGAGCGGTCTATTTCAGCCCCGGCAGCTGAAGCCTGGAATATTAATATACCTTAATTTCTCTACATTTGCGCCGCCGTCGAATTCCCACTTCCATTATAATAACGTCAGAGGCCGTTTCCCACATGCTGTTCTTCATGTCAGATTTTGTGGTTGGTCATGTTCTATGTTATGAATCATGTCCTACCCCTTTGGAACCACACTTAATCATGAGCATTATCTAATGCCACCGCTCTTTGTACAATATTCCACGACAATATTGTCTTCACTTATGCTAATGTACATTATACACAACCTTCACATGAGCTTTCGTCAGTCCTGTTCCAGATATGTTACGAGTCCAACACTTTCCCAAAAAAATTTGCTCATGTCCAGCCCACCCCAAAAAAAAAAGATCTAACACAAACCCTTACAACTAGAGGAATTGTTATAAATGAGGTGATGGAGAGGTACGTATGTAAGTCGGAAGCTTCTGGAGTACCTTGAATGTCATTGGCGACAGGCAGTGTGTCATCAGCTCACAAAGGATTGTTTCAGCACAGGTTAGCCCCTCAAAAAAAAAGTTAACTACAAACACATATAACTCATGCAATTAGTCTATAGTTCCCACAGATCTGATCTCTGTGATCTAGTAATTTCTCTCATACCCTACCGATAGTACCGATCATTTGGCTGTGGTAAGGCTAGGCACTCGCTATTCCAGCACAACGTTGCCCGTTGCAGCCACCAGTCGCATCCACGCATCGCATTCGTCAGATATCGATCAGCCCTCAAAGCAGCTAATGTACGTTTATCAAGTTGACTGGAACGTGGGATGCATGTAGAAAATATTTTTCTTTTTTAGTTTTGAAATAGATAAAATTACCGGGACTGGAAGCAGTCAAATTAGCAAACATATTTTATAATTTTCAACTGTCCGTGCTATTTTATTTTATAGTCTATTACTGTTCTTAGAACACGCAATTTTGTTTTGATAAAATTGCCAGTAAGAGAATCCTTAGAGCAAAAATGCAAAACAGTTTTACGACAACTTTAAGTACTGTTTTATAAACGTTTGCACAACAATTTTATACCGCATTTAAGCTTACTGAACAAATTTGTATCATAATAGATGTATACTGGTATTATCTGATACGAGTTTATTTGTTGGCGAACATCAATAAAATTGTTTTATTAGCGCTTGGTGAAACATTTATAAAATGAATTTATTATGTTCTTTCTGATATTATCGCTCGCTAAGAATATAGCACTAGATGGTGTCTTAAAAAAGTATTATAGAATTATCGTTAATACCGGCATAATAAAAGCTACATATAAAATATATAAAACAAAAAATACTCGTAAGGATACGAAAGCATTTTTAATACATTTATTAAACGAATAAGGCATTCAGTATTCCGGATAATTCTGGAAGGGCTTTAAATCCATTTAATTTTGAAACGGGGCACGGTTAGGCATTGAGATCCGCACTCTAGCCTTTTTTTATCCGACTTTGCAACTAGGAAAGATACTTAATAATATTAAACTGTCGGAGGTCATTTTCGAAAGAATACAGTACTTCATCGCTAGTGACGCGGGAAGTAAGAACAATAGATTTCCAACCATCTACGATTGGTAATTCTTAAAGATGTTACGGACAATACAGACAATTGGACATTAACGTTAATAATCGGGCATTGACATTAATGCCCACTGCAAGTGGACAATAATATTCTCAATATATTTGCCCAGCCATTGTCGTTAATAGCGACGGCGCATCTAATCGGAATTCTATACCGGTTTGAATAGTAAAATTGACTTAAAATTAAATCAACTACCAGTGCCTCTAGGACTAATACAACAAACTGAACTATACATTGTGTGTTACAAACCATTCTAATATGCTGCTGCTTGAAGAGAATCAACGTTATTTCCCGGAGAATCACGCTTGAATTAGGTTTTTATCAACATTGCCCAACTTGGACAGGCATTCACGTTATTGCCCGCTCATTACAGTCAATGCTCGAATTATCATTACCTATAACATTTTCTACATGATAGAACAAGACCTAATAGATTGTTTGACTTACATTGACTTCTTGATGGAAACTGGTGTCAAATCCCATCAGACCGTTTCGTATCTGCAAACAAACACATCGTTTTACTGATATAGTAATAATAATATAATGTTTATTGAAGAAAAAATACAATTTAGGAGCAAACTAAAAAAGCACATCCCGCAATAAACATATACAACACCACAAGACTCAAATGCTTGTACCTGGGTGAATATATTTATTGACGTCATACACTTTCAACTTATCATTGCCCTTTTAGCACATTTTTAGCTACATGGCGTTGAATATTTATAAAATATAGTGATAAAAGCTGTTAGAACATACAAGCAGTTGACAATTTTAGTAGAGTCAATACTCACTTTGGCAATGGTGTCAAAGTTGTTGGTTCGATTCACAGTATTATACTTGAAGTAAAACAGAACACCAAACAAATCTAAATCAAGAAATTCACGCTAAGAGATATAAATGCCCTATTTATATACCCTTACTTATTTGGGTCGGACCAGCGACTGAATGCTTCCGCGCCTCATGACAAATTTCTTTGAGCCGTTTGGACTGTAGCCCGTTAAATAGATACTTCAAAGTTATTTTCCGGAATAAAAAGTAGGCTATGTGCTATTCTAGACTATAATTATTTATCTATGTACCAAATTTAATCCAAATTCGTTCAACCATTTTTATGTGATTGAGTAACAAACATCCACATTCCTCATATAAAATATTATAAAATAGGAATCTCATTAACACACCTTAGGTCTTCCCATTTCACGTGCAGCAGTATTTGCAAATGTACATACATACAGACCATACCGGCACGTACTTATATTACGCAAATTCCTCAAGCCCCAAAAAGCACCAATTAGAGAATCGCTTACAACCTCAACCATTTCCGCTCCAAGTATCCCGAGAATGAGATTCTTGCATACCAAAAATGCAAACAACGCGGTATCGTCAAGTTGTCTCAACTCGAAGCATTTTAATTTGCTTCACAACTTTGCAGCAATTAATGTCCGAAAGAGCACTGAAGAACCCTCATCTCTGAAATCTCGGGCAAAGGAATGCTAACAATTTTTGTAGACTGTCCGAATATTCTTCGCAGCCGAGTTTTTTTTTCTCGTGCAAGTAATGGGATTTAGCTTTTTTATTTTGATGCTTCAGGACAAACATTTGTAGTTTGTGGTGCCTTGTTTCATTTATTATGTTAAATATTGTAAAATCTATATCCAATACACGTGACTTTCCTAACTCGAATGAGATGAATATTATGCTTGGACGATGGTCCGAAGTTCTTTATCGAGTTCTTTGCTATTAAAAAATACGTCTGTAACTATAGTAAGTGTCAGCAAAATGAACACCCAGTAATAATGAATATACAGGGTGGCGCATCGAAAACGAAACAGACGCATTTACTGGCAGCTCAGCTTTTTTTTCGAAAAACGCTCAGACCCGTCGATTTTGTTTTCGAGGGGGACACAAGTTTGGCAAAAAATCACGTTAACACGTGCAGCCCCCTGGGCGGGGGTGACACCAACCCTAAAATCGTAAATGGAAAGGGGGGTCGAGTGATACCTTATTTTGAAGGTCTTTCAATTCCCTTTATAATGATGTAGAATACATGAGCTTAAGTTCAGAAGTTTTGAAGATTTATTTAAGGGATTGTTTATGGGGCTGGTCCAGTAACAACTGAGGCACAACTTCGCGAAAAAAATTTTAATGCTGCTGAAACAATAAATGGACAACTTCGAGGACCTAGAGTAAGAAGAAACTGGGTTCGTCGTGATGAAGCTTGTGTGAAAAGTGGAGGACGACATTTTGAACACCTCCTTTAAATACAAAAAAAGTCTAGTGTGGGTTATAAAAAAAATTGTGTTCCCTATTTATAAGTGGATTTTTTTAATACGTTCAATAGACTTTCACACACCAAGTGAAGCGCTGAGACGGTTAGTGATCAGTCCGTTTTTTTTTTGTTTGCATTTTACGAGTACATTATCAAATAATGAAATAATACCTAAGAGCCAAAAATAACAAACACCATTCTTTATTTACAATACGTTCCGTCGTAATTTGCGCCTGGCATTGCGGCGTTGTCAGATTTTATTTTACTTTAGTCGCTTTTCTCTAAAAAAATGCCGTTTGACCCCCATGTTATATGGAACTTTTGGCTTCAAACCCCTCTATCACCCATTTACATCATGACTATCATAACGTTTACACCCTGTATACATGCTTGAAGTCGGTCATGAAATTTAACACCAACCTAGATTTTTTGGCAAAAAACTGTGAACCAATGAATGCTGCTAATGAGCTCATTCAAACATTACTTATAATTCAATTTTCTCTAGGAACATGCCTGTCTGCCATTTCTTGAACATTCAGCACAAAAAAATTAAAATAACATCCTGATTGAAATAATGCCGAAATCTGCATCTCGTAATAAATCAAAAAGGGTTTTGTTCTGCGTAACAAGTGCTTCATCCAGCTTTTGTACGAGAGAACTTGCATTGCATAAGTAAGTAGAAGAAAGAGACCCGTGGAAGTTGTGTCATCTTTGAGCGCCAACTCTTTAACTAATTTTGCATATAATAATGGGAACAGAAGAGAGTCTCTCTTATTTCAGTTATGCGCCATCTGCAGAATACTTTAGTAATCAAGTTTCCTGTGGAATGGAAGGTAATGAGAGGTAAGGAGTTACAAAGGATAAGCGCTTGGCTATTTTGTAAAAAGCTTTTTTGCCAGAATAAAATCATCTTATTTTTTACAATATCGATACGAAAAGAGTAGGGAAACATAAGCATTTTCGTGTTGAAAATTGAAAGTTTTGATTCGGGTAATTTTATTACGATTATACAAGGTTCAAGTATCGTAATTTATATGTGAAATAAATTGATAAAATAATTAGAAAACATGTATCAAGAAAAATTTTTAGATTTGGAGTTGTAATCGAGTGTTAGTCATTTTTTCGTTTTTTTTCTTTATTTTGAAAATTGGAAATAGAAGATTAAAAGCCTTAAAGTGGCTAATCAAACATTCCAAGTTTGAAGCTTTTTCTTTATACCTGGCATTTTATTTTTTATCAATTACTGTAGAGTAGACGTAAGCGAAGTTGCTTTCATAGATATAAATCATAAAACTTACAATTTTCACAAATATGATGGGCAAAAATAGGCCAATCTCTGGAAAGACTATCAGAACAAATGACTATGCACTCTTTTAGTTTCTAATGTAAAACATCCAATTTTCTGTGTAAAGTTGTAGAGTATTATCTGCAAAAATTAAATAGTTTTCACAAAAAAAAAATTTCTTATGAAGTAACCTTTTTTATCACATTTGCAAAGTCCCTGTTTTAATCTTAAAATTGAATGAATTATTTTGAAATTTAAATATTTGTCCATAAAAAAATTTACACATCGTACAAAAAATGGAAAAACCGGTTGTCTCCAAAGTTTTCTTTCGTGTACTCACTTTTCTTGAATATAAAGATAGAATGACTATTGATGTACAGTAGTGGACAAAAGTATATAGACAAATATGAATATTTACCCAAATACCTCTATAAAACGAATTCATACTTCATTGCTCCATAAACAAATGCGTTATTAGTAGAAGAACTAAATTCCTTGTTTTTACATTATCTGCAATGAATACAATACACGTCTGAATATAAGCATTTTTTTTTTTGAGGGACTAAAATATGTAGACAAATTCTTTTCAACAGTTGAGTGATTTTAAGACCATGCCGCGAGGTCCAGAAATTTCTTTTGACGTGAAAACTAAGATCATTGAGTTATACATACAAAGATGGTCAACGTCAAGTCGACATTGTCAAAAATTTGAAGCGTACAGCAGTTTGGGCAATATTGAACAAATATAAACAATAAGGTATCTTAGAAGCCTCTAAGAGAAGTGGTCGGCCTAGAAAACAAAACGATGGATTAGTTAGATTAATGAAAGTAATTTCGTCCAAAGATCCGTTTAAAACCACAAGACAAGTAAAAGCCGAAATCGAGACAAAAGGAATTGCCAGTGTTTGTACGAAAACTGTAAGTTGAAGATTGAATGATTTGAAGGTATTTGCACGTCGCCCGAGTAAGAAGCCGCTAATCTCGAGGAAAAACGTAGACGATTACAATTTGCACGGTTGCATCTTGATTGGAGCATCTGTGACTGGAAGCGGGTATGTTTCAGTTACGAATCCAAGTTCAATATGTTTGGATCAGATGGTGTTCATTACGTTAGACGTCCTAGTGGAGAAAGATACACAGTACACTTTACCCACAGTCACATAGAATAGATGGCATTATGGATAAGTTTGTATACACAGACATACTAAAGCATGTCATGTTATCCTATATGGACAATATGCCCTTAAGATCAATCTTCCAGCAAGATAATGACCAGAAGCACAATTCAAAGCTCGCAAAAAAATTCTTTCTGGATGAAAAATAAAAGTTCTCAAATGACCTTCACAGTCTCCCGATATAAACTCCATTGAAAATCTATGGGAATACTTAGACACGCAAATACGAGATAAAAATTATTCAAACAAGGATGAACTTTTTGCCGCTTTAGGGCAGAGTAGAGACAGATTGATGAATCTTATATCAAGAAACTTCTAGAATCTATGCCGAGACGATGCCAGGCGGTGATTGATAATAATGGTTATGCTACAAAATATTAACACAAACATGGTTGGTTTTATATAATTCAATGAACTTTGCTTCTTTTTTCTATAATTGTTTTGCTTTGTCTATATACTTTTGTCCTTCATGGTTCCAGTTTTTTTCAATTGATTTTTTATTGAAGGGAGTCTAATGAATTTATTTACGTATAAGTGATTATTATGCTATAACAAATTATGTACATATATAGGTTGGTGTATTAATAAAACAAGTTAAAAAAGAAATACAACACAATATTAATTTGTCTATATACTGTTGTCCACTACTGTGACTGCAGATGTATGTTTATATAGAAATAGATAAAAGTGACCTGGACCTTAACATATTTACATATTTTAAAGCTTAGCAAGGAGAAGGAACAAAAAATGAAATGTTGGCTACAAT